TTGTGTACTGAAAGCTGTTTTCTGTTATCTCGAAACGTATCTACAGGTATTGTTTCGCGCGGCCCATTGTTCTGACTATTTAATGAGGTTTAGCGAGAGACGCGCCCATTCGTTAACTAAAAATTGCCTCGGTGCGGTGTGTTCGTCATGCACTTAAAAAATAAATCAAATTGTGTACTTTGTGTTATTGCGCAGTATTTAATACTGGGAATATTTGTTAATTTAGTTTCGGCGTGTTTTTAATTATGCATATTCCGTTGGAAATACCGAGCTGGAATACTCACAGTGGAGTAAGATTGAAAGACATACAAGGTGGATACCGAAATTTTTTTAATTTTAACCTGAGATTTTCCGGTCTTTTCGATTAGTAACATAAAATTAAATGTCAAATTAAAATAAGAACAAAATTATCCATTTATCAAATTCCTTAAATGTAATAAATACATTTTTTTTTCGTGTCTCGTGTGAAAATATGTTAGTTTGTCCTGTTTTAAGAGCCCCCTCAAAAAATTAGCTCAAAAAAAATTTTTTTAGAGATCGCTCAAGATTTTTAAATATTTCCAAAATCGTCAAAAATAATTTTTTTTAAATTTTTTTTCTCGTTATTTTATCATTTTCTATGTTGAAAAAAATCTCGATTCTGAAAATTTCAAATCTATATTTTAATTTCTAAAGGTCACTCATAATTATTTTAACTTTAAAAGTAGTGTGCCTAAAATGTTTTCGAGCGACCTCTAAAAATAAATATCAACGAACTAATAATTTTTTTTTTGAATTTGATGAAGAAAAGAATAGAAATAAATCACGAGACACTTAAAAAATTTCTCGAGGCAAAATTTACTACCACACTGTGGGTATCAAATATTTATAATTTTTGAATTTTTTAAAATTTAAGTGTTGATATTTATTTTTTAGAGGTCGCTCGAAAACAGGTACACTACTTTTAAAGTTAAAATAATTATAAGTGACCTTTAAAAATTAAAATGTCGATTTGAAATTTTCAGAATCGAGATTTTTTCAAATTAAAAAAAAAAGAATGAAATTTTTGACGATTTTGGAAATTTATAAAAATCTTGAGCGATCTCTGAAAAAATTAATTTTTTTTGAGCTGATTTTCTGAGAAGGCTCTTAAAACATATTTTCACAAGAGACACGAAAAAAAAATTCGTTTTTTTTGGGCTACCCTAATGAACAAGTATTTTTAAGGAATGAATTTTTACATCTCCATCGGTAAAAAAACACTTTTAAAATCTATAGCTGCAACAAATAGGCATTTACTCCTATCGAATTAGAGTTTGAACGTGAAAAAAATATTAATAGATATTTTATTGCGCCTTATGACGAGTAAGAGTATGTGATTTCTCCTTTTTAATAAAAATTACCGTAAAATTAAGCTTTATATAATGCAAAAAGAGCGAATTCCCGAGCGGCTTTTGCCTGACCTTGGGACAATTTGTTAATAACGCTGTTTTGCACGACCTACTTTGTTAGTTGTAAAGGGCTACTTAATTTCAACCTTTTGAAATTTTTCATTTTCGATCCATTCTACACACCCTTCATAAAGGGCTATAAAATATCTACTAATAATTTTTTCAAATATTCAGGTTTTATGATCTAATTCGACTGGAGTAATCTCTGTATCGGGTTAAACAAATTACTCAGGCCCTTTACTGCGTCGCTATATATTAAAAAACGGCCTTGCCTTGTTCCCCTACGGCGCAAATGAAATTAAATTGACACTCTTGAACCTGAAGCGAACACTTCACTTTTTAATACCGCCTCTTGGATCTGAAATTAAATTTTTCGAGATTTTTGTTCGGCAATTCCGTACATCCCTCGTCGAAAATATATTAGGTACAGCTCAAGATGGTAAATACGTATCAAATAAATTTATAATTTGTCACATGCACTTCTAAATTGACAATTCATATTATTTGTAATTATTTTAAAAGGATTATTTACTTTTTAATCCACTCGCTGAGACTGAGAACGTTTTTTTAAACTTTCACGAGTTGGCTGTGGAAACAATTGATTTCATCCCGTGATTACTTGAACCGTTCGAGTTCAGTTAAACGTCAAAAATAGTACGTCGATTAAACGACAATGGATTGAAAACGGCGGTCCAATTTGTGGCGGAAAAGTTGCTCGCAGGAAGATGTTACATTCTTCAAATCTACTCGCGGCCGATCCGAAAGTTCCTCTGACCGGCTCCGAAAGTTTAATACTTTCGCGGAACCTGTGAAGTCTCGTAAACCAATATTGATTTATCTCCCCGCACGCGGGGATTAGGAGGATGATTTAAAAGCTGAATCGAGTATTAACCTGTGAAATACGTAAAATTTTTATACCGTATACGTCTAATGTCCGTTTGCATCGAAATATACTAACAACAACTTAATGAAGTCGTTCTTAAGGTTAAGTTCGACACAGAAAAATGTCCTGTTCACTCTGTAAAAACCTGTACAGGAAAATGTAAACGCATTTGCACGAGAGTAAATGCGCAAATTTCCCAGTAGGCTTATGCCAAACAGAGGAGGGGTTCTATGAATTCCGTTATGCAGAATTTGCGTTATCAGCCCGAGGAAGAACAGCGGTTCAAGGTCATGTTGCAATTGACGAAGAATTTCCACACGCTTTGCTTTATCCCGTAAACAATTTTTTGTCAACCGCATATCTTTCTATTCAAACCGAATGCGAAATAATTGGGTACAAACAAACATTTGAAGGCGACAACGAAAGCGTTGACCGACTATACAACGAATTATATTCATTTAAAGCCTTTCGAAATTGAAAGAGAAAATAATTAACATTTATAATTGAAGCCATTAACGAATTAATTATTCGGTTTATTTGGGCCGTAATTAAAAATTAAAGCCAACAATAACTGCTATTAAGGGTTTGTGTGTTTTAATATAAACGCGCGGATGCGCAAAATTTCCAGCCGATATTGGGGAGACGCGTTGCCGCTAGGGGGCGTTAATGTTGTTAACATGAAAATCAAAGTAATAAACTACTAAATAGTGAGGTATCAGGGCGAATAACCCTCCCTAGATATTTTGCCATTTCCCCTTGAAGGTACGGAAGTGAAAAATTACTGATTTATTCGCGATTTTCTAATGGGAACGTTAGAAATTTGCGATTAGGCCACATATATTACAAGTTACAAGGAAATTTCCTAAGGGATTCGCGGTAAATCTCAATTAAAACGCTTCTTTGTTGGGTGATGATGTATACCACTGCTCCAGCATGCCCTGATTGTAGTTTAATGATAAGTCAAGCGATTGAATTATCACACGGAGGAACCGGATTTTCTTTTAGGGGAAACAGGAGCAATGGGAAATATATTTGCCGTCATGTCACGGTATTTTATTGCCTTTCTTTATTATTATTGTTTTTCGATTGAGATATCCGACCATTTTATTTTCGCCACATTTTAATGACTCACCCCGCAGAAAAGTGAGTTTATCGATGTTCACTATGGCCGATTTTGTTGAGCAAAGAATTTGCAATAAATTATGAATGAATATTCTGCTGCGGAAAGATTGAGGATGTTACACGAAAACATTCGATTAACAATAAAAAAAAACCCTGTTGATAGTGTTGGAATTTCAAAAGATTCAGTAAATATCACACAGCATTGAAAGTTCGAGACCATTTCGCCAAAAATTCAACTCATATCGTTCCGCAACCACCGTATTCGCCTGATTTAGCACCGAGTGACTTCTGGGTATTCCCTAAACTCAAAAGACCACTCCGTGAACACCGTTTCGACTTGATCGGGGATATAAAAGAAAAATACTTTTCAAACTGTTTCGAGAGTTGGAAAAAACGTTGGCATAAGTTCATTGTATTGAGTGGGGATTACTTTGAAGGCGACGAAATTGATTTGGAAGCATAAATAAAGATTTTTTATTTTTTAAACAAATTCACCTTATTTTTTGGACAACATTATTCAGAAAGAATCTTTAAAACCCATAATTTCACCTCGTACTTCACTGCTCTTCCCTGCTAGAAGTTAGCGAGAGTCCCATCCTTTACAAAGTCAAACTTTAAAGTCAACTAAAATCTAATAAGATTATATCAGCAGTGGCAAGCAGCTGTAAGTATATTTTAATGTCGCCCTTCCATTAATATCGCGGTAGGTAAATTAACTCCATTTGAAGCAAGGCGCAGTCATTTAAAAAGTTAATCAATGCTTACAGTTGCACTTAATTTGAAAAATTACTTGCCACTGCAGAAGCCGACTATTATTTGAAAAATTAATTAACCTGGGTTGTTTAAATAAAGGTAAGAAGCATGATTATGCCTATAAAATATTATTTAGCAGGTTTACAATTCTATAAAAGTTCTATGTTTAGCACCAAATCACCAAATTAAAATCTAATAATATAATTTCTCCGTTGAAATTGCCGTATTCTTTTATCCATCACTATGAATTCTGTAACACTGATCACAGATTACTTTATTTCAAACAGACCAATAATAACACGGACTGAATCCGTTCCATGAAATAAAACGGCAATAATCAATAAACGACAGCTCTTTGCATCAAAATTTACGAAGGCTGTCCAGGCCTACACGATATGAGGCATGATAAAGAGGGATAATCCCCCTCGATCCCAAATCATTGAGGCCAATTTCTAACCATGGAATAATGGCGCATCAAAATGTACATTTAGTCTACCTATTTGTTATCGAAGCCCATAGATAAATGAAATAGTTGTGTGACATATATTCCATGGTCAATTGTTTCACTAACTTTATAGATACAGATAGGAAATCTTTGCACTGAAAAGGCCCGAAATACTACCAACCTATTGAACAAGGCCAAACTTAATTGCAAAAGTTACCAAAAGAAATGCGTTTTAAAGCTCATTTACTTGGAAAATATACATTTCTTTAAAGTCAACGACTTGTTTAGATACGTTTAACCAAGTTTTATAAACAATTACAATATGTGTTCAAAAGGAACAAGAACCAGATCTTAATTTTTCTAAAATGTCACATCTACTCCATAATGGGTGTTCCTGCTGATGACAGAACACGACAGGAAAACAACATAACCTATATGTAAGGTTTTAAAATTTACATTTCCCACTGACATGTTTTGATTTATTCGCCCTCAATATCAACGACGGCTTTTAAAAAATAGTTTACGTTAATGGTTGATTCGAACAGTATAATTTCTCTAATAAGCGTCTCAACGATGGTGACAACAGACACTGGCTTTCCAGATCCTGACAACCCCAGTAACGAAATAAGAGCCACGAACGACGTAATTCTGGTCACCGATGACGAAGAAGACTCCGACAACCAAGAAACCGTAGTTCTAGACGAATACCAACCCCTTGCAACGGAAGACATTGGAGATTTACACCAGTCGAGCAGTGACGACGAAGGTTAAGTGATTCACGCCTTTTTGATGCACGTACATTACATATAATTATTTTACAGGTCACGACGTCCAAATAACAAACTCTACACCTACGAATGATTCCGTAGTACCTCCTATTACTCCGATGGAAGAAGTAATAGTAAAAGAAGTGTGGTCGGGTCCCCCACCTAAATCCGTCGACATCGAAATGGACAGCAAGAGAGTGGACGAAGTTAAGCAAGTCATGATGAACGTTACCTTGCCCCAAAGTTCTATACCCGAGTGGGCGGCGAATATACCGGAGGAGGAATGGAAGAACCAGCTGATGAAACGGCTCCAGAACATGAAGGATGAGGGGAAATAAAGCGTATAGATATAATTTTTAATTTATTGTTTCATTCCGGTTACTTTTTAAAAAAACTTAACGCCAAGTCTTAAAATTTTTAGATAAACACCTGAAAAGGTTTCTTAATGTGATTTTTTTTTAAGTTTTGGTAAGTTTGAGGCACTTTCTTTTAAGAATTATATTTAAAAAAGTTATATTTTGAGCTCATATTGTATATTTTTGTTATTAAGGTGAATATTTTATGTAAGCCTCGATTTGTTTAGTAAAAGACTCATTATACAGGGTGTATATCAATTTAGAACCTGGAATTATCAGGGAGGTACATAGGTCTGGAAATATCGTGAATTCTTAAGTTTTCATGTAATTTTTTCAAATTCCAGTCGTAATCGTTGTTTATTTACAAAGTTGTACCACCGGATGTCCTGTCGCTGAGAAATAAATTTGTTACTACTATTTTACATCGTCTATTTGTATCACCTGTGTCGCATGTTTGTTGGTTGACTGTCGTGAAGGCTCTATAGCAAATAGCCAACCAGCAAATACATTTTTATAGATTTTATTACACTGTTTGTCTAAATATGAATTAATGCACAAATAACAGACTTTCCTCCATTCGAACGCAGATTTTCTATAAAATGGAATTAGTTTGAAGCTCAAATTACTTTTTGTTGTAAAGAAATTTGTAATTTGCCGCTTTTGAACTAGTGGCATATTAAATTACAAATTTCTTTACACCAAAAAGTAATTTGAGTAACAAACTAACTTCATTTCTCAGAAAATCTGCGTTATAATGGAGGAAAGTCCGTTATTTGTGCATTAATTCATATTTAGACAAACTATAATAAAATCTAGAAATGTATCTCTGGTTGGCTATTTGCTATAGAGCCCTTTTAAGAATTCCTGGCCAAACAGTGACGAACGTAATACTTCTTACAATACTAAAAAAAACAATTGAATTCCTGTTCACTTGAATTTTTATCAGGAAAAATTGAAGATCAGCTGTAAGCACCTCAATTTGCATTAACTCATCTATTGCAGATAATTCGACTGTAATATCAAACAGAAACCATGAAAACGCTTTAGTAAGACTTTTTACGTAAATTCAATCGTTCAATCATAAGTACTCCTGCAAACTTTAGCAATTCATGCCTGTTATGGGCGCCATATTGGATCCGCCATTTTGAGATTCAACAATCCGCTGGGAATTAGAACTAAGGGTCTAAAGAATCCCCAGTGAGCCTTCTTAAGTTAAAATGAATGATTCTGGGATCATTCGTATCGATTTCTTAATAATATCTGCAATTTTTTACACATACGGGCGCCATGTTGGATCCACCATTTTGAAATTCAATAAATTGACTAGATTATTCAGAATCCACGAAAACCTCTAAAAAGTCTTTTTGGGGTAAATTTAATTGCTACTCGATCTTTAATACTGACTTTTTATGAATTTTAGTGGCTTTTGGACGTTATGGGCGCCATATTGAATCTGACGAGTCGAAATTCGCAAAAAACTATAATCACTTTAAATTCACGTCAAATAAGCCTACTTACTTCTTAAAATCCTGTTCAGCATCATCGGAGCAACAAACGAGTTTCAATTTCACCTTACTTTTAAATACACAAATATTCACCGATAGAGAAGGAAAAAGGATGGAAGCCTATTGAATAAAACACCGGTTTACTGAATCGTTTATTCTTTTAAATTATAATAAAAAAATTCTAATTGTATCTATGCGATATTTACAATATACAACTATGTAACAATAAGTACAAATAAATGCCAGTCATATATACAAAAAAAAAAACTTGGAAGTTACCTTTTTAAAATACTACTTATTGTCTACGCAAAATTTATATGAGTATTATTAATAATCGTGCAGTTTCAATTTTTTTCACTTTATCGAAATAAAAATAACTGTGGGTTGGCTGTTTCAGGTGTAATCTCTTATGTAACGCGATGAAAGGTATACCCGTGTAGAGAACTTAAACTCGTTCTAAATATTTAAAATATACACACCTAGATTAAAATCAGATATTAATAGAATTGAAATAATGAAAAAATTTTTAGAATGGATGTCGTAAAGTATTAATATCTGATTCAATACAGTATTTGTAAAAAATATTACATATTTTACATAATAAAATATCACAACTCTAATAAAATCAGTGAGGGACAGTGAAAATAAAAGTAATCGTATTTTGATAACAAAGCATAAGAAGGGGATGATTTTTAGGCCCACATGGAGAATTCATAATAAAAAAGTTTTGAATGAAGTTTGCAAAATAAATAAATTATTAAGATCACCAATACATTTTTATAGATTTTATTACACAAATTGTCTAAATATGAATTAATGCATAAATAACAGACTTTCCTCCATTCCAATGCAGATTTTCTATAAAATGGACTTGGTTTCAAATTCAAATTACATTTTGTTGGAAAGAAATTTGTAATTTAACGCATAAATTACAAATTTCTATAAACCAAAAAATAATTTGAGTTTGAAACCAAGTCCATTTTATAGAAAATCTGCGTTGGAATGGAGGAAAGTCTGTTATTTGTGCATTAATTCATATTTATACAAACTGTTGTTAGAATTTAAAAAAATGTCACCTTTTCTTGGGTATCTGCAAAAAACGTTTGACTGATGATGAAAATTAAAGCGGACCAGTCCAATTTAAAGAAAAATTTATATCATTCGGAGATAAATATCTGTATCAGTAAGAGGAATACTAGTTACTTTCACTGAAAACCCCAGAAATTTGAGACCACTGGATTTTTCGATCTCTACTTTGTAACTCTTCGTGGTGTTTTGAAAATTTCTTTCATTTTATTTGAAAAACGAACCATTTTCAATTTATTGTATTTGTTTATTTTCATTAACGTTACGAAAACACTACACAATAAGTGACCTAAATCCAAAACTACTCGTTTTTCGAATAAAATGATATTTTTTTTTGACGCACCTTTGAATTTAGTCAACGTGACTCCACCACTGTTACACATATTTATCTCCGAATTCAGTGGATTTTTGTCTTTATTTAGATAAATCAGTCCGAGTTTCGTCATTCTATATAAATCGTCTTCAGAGATAGTTTGAAAAGTGGTGATTTTTCTTATTTTCATCACTCTGTATCTCATAATATATCAATTTTCAGACCCATATTTAAATTTCAAAGCAGAACGTATTTTATTTCTGAAAAGGTCTGAAGAGGGTTCTATAGCGGATAGGCAACCAACAATACAGTTTGTCTAAATATGAATTAATGCACGAATAACAGACTTTCCCCCATTTTAACACAGATTTTTTATAAAATGGATTTAGTTTGAAACTAAAATTACTTTTAGGTGTAAGGAAATTTGTAATTTACGATGCTAATAGCGGCAAATTACAAATTTCTTTACAACAAAAAGTAATTTTGGTTTCAAACCAAGTCCACTTTATAAAAAATCTGCGTTAGAATGGGGGAAAGTCTGTTATTTGTGCATTAATTCATATTTAGACAAACTGTGTAAAAAAAATTATAAAAATGTTTTACTGGTTGCCTATTTCCTACAACGCCCTCTTAATGGAGAATGTAATAATTGAAGAATTTTTTTTTATTTCAGAAATTTTCCCATTCCCGACATTTTTATTAATTTTTGTACCTATTCAGATAATAATTTTTACTCTACGTGAGTATAGGAATCATCCCCTAAAAAACGGTATAACTCCCGCACTTCGTTATCAAATTGCGACAACTTTAATTTTCACGAGTCGTCACTTAAAAACAAAAAATCAAGTAATGGATACATTTATTACCGTCTTCCGCTGCTGTAGGATACAATTAAAGTGGGATTTGTTTGGTAAATTTGAAATATTTCAAATAATTACAAAAAAAAATCCACCCGCTATGGATATATAAACCCGAAAAGAGCAGAGAAATTTCTTAAAACGATTGCCCATTTACTAAATGAAAAACGTTCAACTTTACTACAATTTCCGAATCACTCCGCTTCTTCCCTTACGACGGGCTCCCCGTCCAGCTTTTTCAAGTGCGGCAACCGCTTTATCGCCTCGGCTTTATACACCGACTCCTCCAAATTGTCGCTAAGCGGATTCCCCACAAATAAAATGTCCTCCAACGAAGGCAGCTCTTGGAATTTCATGAACTCGCCTACCGAATACTCTCTATGAGAATTACGCAATCGTTAACGCCGATACCACTTACCCCACTCCTTGATAAGATTGTTACCGATATACAAAACCTTCAGTTTCTTCAAAACCTGCACTCCTTTAACCTTCTCGATCAAATTGTAAGAGATCCACAGTTCCTCCAGGGTATCGGCCACTCCTTCCAGTCCGGAGAACGATTTTATGTAGTTCCTGCCCAACGACAAGATTTTTAAGTTCTTGAGAGCGCTCAGGCCCGCGATTTTTTCTATCATGTTCGTCGACAGGCTCAGCTTGGTGACCTTGGTCAACGCCGACAGGGAGTTGTCCATTTTTTCGATCGGGGGCCACTGGAACTGGAAGCCTATGTCGGTGGCGTCGGCGATGGCCTTGTCTGGGTTTTTCTCCTCCCACCTTTTTATCGCATCCTTTATTGTCGTCGGTTTTGACATGTTTATAAATTTTCTGTCACATTGATTAAACGGTGAAGTTCGTCTCTATGGCAATTTTTTACGGTTTGGTATTGATCAAACACCAGCGATGTTGGTAGGCAACAGATCTAGTACTTTGTCCCTTTAATAATGGTTTATTTTTGTGATAAATTTTAATACTTTCAATTTTACCAAACAAGCATCCGACGGGGGTCAAATTGACAAATCCTGGACAATTATTTACACGAACGGATTTGACATGGAAAAATAAGGCTATAAAAGTTAAAAAATAAGTATTAAAGTTTAGCTGCTGTACAAATTTTTTTTTGTATTTGTCTGTAAATGAAGGAAACGTCTTTCCGAGCAATTTTAAAACTTCTCGACCAGTTGCGATCAACCTCAATTGATAATCAACGTAACTGTTACGTTTTCTTTTAATTTTGCCGCGATTGAATAAAATTTTAATTTTTTCCATTTCAAATCGTTACTTATTTTCGATAAACTTCAAATTTACGGTTTTACACTGTACAGGGTGCGAAATTTAATATTAGCAGATGGGATTCTCACAAATAACTTACAACTCTCGCCACAACCAGGAAATAAATGAATTAGGTCCAAATATTTAAGTTAAATTCGCTACCGATCAACCTCTTACGATTTATGAGATTCCCATTGAATTTGAATAAAAAAAAACAGTATGCAGTCTCTCTTGTATGTGAGAGACAAACCGTAACCAGACGTCCACCACCAATTGAGGATCCATACCCAGAGTGTACCGATTTATACGTACGGGCCGTTAACAAATTTAAAAAATAAATTAATGTAAAAATATTTTATATTAAGTAGACCCAAAGGATACGCAAATTTGGAAACCATAATTTCTTCAAAATTGCAAATTTTAAACCTACTACGATTTTATTTAGGTGAGAATTTCTTAGCAAAATGTATTTTTAACACACCTCTCAGAATATTCCCGTAGGAATACTTGTGCCTACTGATGTAGGTCTCTCTGTGAAATATAACCTATAAAGTATATGTCATTTTAAATGTCACTGCTACGCAGCACCTACTGGCACATCGCATTATTTTGTACCTACTGGTGTAGGTCGCTGGGTGGAATATAACCTATAAAGTATATGTCATGTTTTAAATGTCAGTTCCTCAGTGCCTACTGACACAAAATATTACTTTGTACCTACCGATGTAGGTCGCTATGTGAGATATAACCTACAAAGTATGTCATTTTAAATGTCAGTTCCTCGGTGCCTACTGGCAAAAAATATACTTTGTACCTACCGATTTAGGTCGCTCGTGGGATATAACCTACAAAGTATATGTCATGTCTTAAATGTCATTGCTACTGAGTATCAACTAGCAATAACTTTTCTTGGTATTTATTTTAATTATTTTCTTATTCAATTTGTTTCTGAATATAAAGAAACGCTTAATTTTGTAAATTTGCAATAATTATTTATGCTGTTTCTTATACGAGTAATTCTTTGATTAAAAAAATTCTAGCAGGTTTAGGATTAGCAAATTTTAAGAAATTATGAGATGCAAATATACGTTATATAAAACAGTAGCTGTAGATTCAAAAATTCATCTATATGGACTTATATTTGAGCTTAAGCGGGCTCTATAGCAAATAGGCAACCACCAACACATTTTTATAGATTTTCTTACATAATTTGTCTGAACATGAATTAATGCACGAATAACAGACTTTCCTCCATTCTAACACAGATTTTCTATAAAATGGAGTTAGTTTGATATTCAAATTACTTTTCGTTGTAAAGAAATTTGTAATTTACCGTGTAAATTACAAATTTCTGTACACCAAAAAGTAATTCGAGTTTCAAACAAAGTTCATTTTATAGAAAATATGTGTTAGAATGGAGGAAAGTCTGTTATTTGTGCATTAATTCATATTTAGACAAACTCGGTAGTAAAATCTATAAAAATGTATTACTGGTTGCCTATTTGCTACAGAGCCCTCTTAATTTGTTTTTTCGTGTTAGTGATCGGTTCGTACATCAATAAATGGGGACACCCTGTACGTTATTACTTTTATAAAAATCAATGTAAAAAAAATCTATTATGTCTTTTCCAATGGTGGTAGCATTTACACTAGATTTTCGTAATAAAATAAATAAAATTCATATAAAAAATTGAGTATTTCAAACAATGTGTCGTAAATATGAGAAAATAAATAACACTTTCTATAATTACTCGTAATGTACAACAATATATTAAAATCTTTTCTTTAAGTACTCATTTTAAAACAAACATGTAATGGTATAAAACATTATCTACAAACACTTATTTAAAATATACAGTGTGACTATTCGAATATCTGCATTCCACCTTTTTTTTTTTTTCATAATTGCAACGTTTCTAAAGAATCTCTCACCCGTAACTAATAAGTGCGTATTTTTTAAACTACCAATCTTAAAGGTAAAAAACGCTTTTACTAGTGGTGGAATCTCAAATTTAAAAAAAAAAATCGAAAAATAAAAAAACGAAAAAAAAATTTAAAAATTTTCCCTAAAACGTTAACTTGATCCTAATACAGTGAAACAAATTTCAGATCTACCTCCAAGCCCGCGGCCGGGCCTCGATTCGTTAAGGGGTACATTAAAACTTTACAGAAGATCTCACTATGCAAGTCGAAAAATTGAATATCCTAAAAAATCCTAGCTCGTCCACTTATTAGGAGCTACTGCTGAGCTGCCACCGCTGCGTCTCCAGGTTGCTGTTGCACCGCTCGACGGTCACGCCCTTCATGTTGGTGTACTTCGTGTCCAGGCACAGCGGATAGCGGGAGTGCCTCAGGAGGCCGCCCGGCTCGATCAGGTGCCACTTCTGGCTGTCGGAACCGTCGCATATCCTCATCACCACCTGAGAACCTGAAAAAAACGAGAATTAGTCTTACGGTCTCATGTTTTGTGACCCGGTGTCGCTGTATTTTTTTTTTATTCAATCAAAACGCCAAAAAGTCGCAACCTTACCTTTCAAAAAGTTGACGAGTGTCAAACAGAGGTCGTGGTGCTTAATCAGTCCCCCGCTGGTAAAACTCCACTCCTGGTTGCCCCCGGTGTGGTGGCACTGATACAGCGCCACGGTACCGTCCAGCAGGTGACCCATCGTGTCGAGGCAGAACATGCCCTGGCGGAGTTCTCCGATGTGGGACGTCGTCGCGTGCGGGATTGCCAGCTCCGGGTAGACGTTCTGCAGGTACCACTTAAACGGCTTGCACTGCAAGTTCTTTTTCAACTCGAGACGGTCGCTTATGCTGAAATAAAACCGACTAGTATGCTAAATAGACACGTTTATCGGAGCTTACTCTCCGAACGGTACGTTCTTGGCGAGAGGAACGGCAGCGTAATAGTAATTCTTGTAATCGTCCATCCAAACCTCGGCTGCACGTCTCGTATTTCTCGCAAACACGTTACCGCTTCCTCCGGGGAAGGTGTAAGGGTGTCGCTTGCGAAATACATGTCCAACCTGAAATTAACGGGATATAAAAAATTATCGTGGGTTGAATCCCAAGACCATCGAGTTTTGCCCGATAAGTGAATTTTTTTACAAAATTTTGCTCGGATAACGACTTTCGGTCTTGGGATTTTGTCTAAAGATTTATTCGGTCAAAAACAAGACTCTTCTTTGTATTTTGAGGGACCACATTGCCAATTTCTTCGTCAATTTCTCCCGTTTCAGTGTCTCCAAAGTGCTATAATTTCAAATAAAAATACTGAATACGACTTACCCTGCTGCACGGTATAATTTCGAGACTGCCTCCGCACTGCCAGACCCGGAACGAAATCTCCAAATTTTCTCCACCCCACACGTCCATCTTCATATCGTACTTGCCTAACTTGTCGAAGTAAGCTTTGTCGATCACGAAAAGACCTCCCGCTATCATCGGAGTCCTTATAGCCTAAAGTTACATAAGTTGATTATAAGAAAATATATATTAAATTATTATTTTTTTTAATTTACCCGAGTCGGATCCCTCTGTCGGTTCTCCCTTTCGGCGTAACTCAAATATTCCCATTTGAAAACGAGGTTCCAATCAAAGCCTCCCCTTAAGTCCGCCGAGGCCCCGATATATTGGAAAGTATCCATGCTTATTACATCTATCACAGGGCATACAACACGTGTGGGGTCCTGTGTAAATATATTCGTCTTTAAATTTTAAATATCAATCAAGTTAGTTAATGCGGACATCGTAAAATTTTTTTAAATGTACACGACATCCCGAACTGCATAAGTCAAACTTCATCTTACAACAGAATTTAGAAACTTAGTCGTCAAGATTCAAAGTTAGAATTGAAAACGATGGTAACTCTTCCAGAAAATCCCGAAAATCCCTAAACTAACCAAGTATTGCAACTGATTCTTCTTATTTTGCCCCAATACGTAACTTTCAATTTGGAATTTCTAAAAACTCCACTGCATTTTTTAAATTTCGCTATTTATATCCGAAATCAAAAGATTTATCTTATATTTCAGTGTTGGCAATAGGAGTTTTGATTCATACTACGAACAAAGGCAACGGTGTTAAGTACCACAACCAATGTTCTTGTTTGACCCAAAACGGCGGTTTGATGTACATCAGTTTCTGCTATTTACATATTAAAATATATTAAAATTTAATTGTTGTAGAAGCTACAAGTATTGAGGTATTGCCTAATGAATTGTTCAAAATAAACATGTATTGAAAATTCAAACTATGTTTCAAGGTTGGCAATAGGAATCTTACCCCAAAATGGCGGTTGACAGAAGTACTTATCAATATCTAGGGACAATGTTAATAATCACCATGGGAACCAAAAGTTTTATACAAACACACGTAATACTACCACTTTAGGGCGCACAAGACATGAAAGCCAAACTATAAAGTTAAATTGATACTACCCGTCAGTCTCGCACGGACAATATCCGCAAATCCCTTGATAATCTCCGCGTGACGTCATAACATGGCCGCGGATATGCGCAGTATCATATCTCGTGTCTTTGTATCATGCAATGTTCCATTTCTACGTCTAATGGTCGTAAACAAGGATTTAAACTTTATTCGGTTGTTTAAATGAAGACAAAAAAATTTAATTACTTACATTTATTATCCGACCACAATTAAATAATAAAGTTTAGCGACGTTTTTTGTGCAAAAATTGTTTAGTTTAAAAATTATTTTCTTACCAACCAGAAAAAATGTAAAATGAAGAAAAATGGAGTAAAATTTCATCTGTCGCTGAATTATTCTGGTTAACAGTTATTATCAGGGCTCTCGGAACTGAGCCGCGCGGCATAGGCGTACGCATTATATATTAAAAAAAGCAAGAAATTAAATTAATTACGCAATATCCGCTCCATAACAGATCAACAGTATACTAACGTGATGCGAACGTAAAAAGCATTCTGAAGCAGCGGCTCACGAATTTTTCGGTTGGCCCGCTTAGCACGCCACTGAATTGCGGCTCTCTCTGACAGCTTAGTTATTATTATTTTATAATGGGCAAAACGTACATAAACTATTGCAAAAAATTAAAAGGTTAAAAGAATTTCTGAAATTTTTCCGTGTGATTTTTGACAGACTGTATTTAGATGGAAAATGGTCGGGTCGGGAATTAAAAAAAAAAACATTTTGAAGCTCTAAGATTCTAGTTTTTAGATCTTTGGGTCGCAATTTTTTAGGAGCTATGGTTATCATGTAATTCTAACAAATAGCGCGACAAAAAATTTTAAACTTTTTTTTATTAATTTTTTTCCAGATAAGAAAAAGGAGTTTAAAAAAACTGTTTTTTAAGTGATTACAGACTGCACAAAAATTAATTAGAAATTTAGCTCAAAAAACGGTATGAATTGGGATCGAAATGTGGTTTGAGTGATCAACTTTAATTTTAATTTAATTAAAAGTTGATGAACAGAAGCGTAGGACGGAAAAGCCGAATCGTGCTGGAAACAATAATTGAATTTTGTTTTCTTCAATGTCCGGTTTTCCAAATAAAAATAAAAAAAAAAAATTCCAAAAAATTTTCCAAAAATTTTCCAAATTTTTAATTTTTCAACAAATTAAACGTTATTGGCAGTAAAAATGTGAGAAACTCTCAAAAAAAATTTCCTTTCCATTTTAATCATGATTAAGAAGTGTTTAAGCTCAAAAAACGTGACCCTTTCATTTTTTCAAAAGTTTTACTGTTTCAAACAAAGAAACGGTTCGCTAGTTCGAGATGAAACTTCACAGGGTTCTCTTAACATTAGTCGTTTCGTAAATATTTCTAATTTAGCCGTCAATTTTCTAAAAAACCATAAATTATTACCCTTTTTTCCTGTTTTTAAAATTCGTGTAAAAACTGAAAAAAAAAAATCCGAAAAGTTGCGGCTGCATGTTAGGAAATTTACTCCAGTTTTCGAAATTGGCCTTCAATTCTCTGTACGACCATTTGTCCCCGAGATATCGATGACAAAAGGAGCCTTTTCCATTAAAAGTCCGATATTTCGATGAAAAATGGTCGTATCGAAATTTAAAAAAAAGGAAATTGAAGCTGAATAAACAAGCTATCTGGTCCGTGCAATGGCTTAGCTGAAAAAAATTTTTCTAAGTCCGTGGACTCGAAATTTTTTTGTCGCGCTATTTAGAATTGCATGATAACTGTAGCTCTTCAAAAATTTCGACCGAAAGATCTAAAAACTAGAACCCTAGAGCTTCAAAATGTTTTTTTTTTTAATTCTCGATACAACCATTTTTCACCTACATACAGTCTGCCAAAAATCACGAAAAAATTTAGGAAATTTTAGTATATATTAGAAAATAGGTTTTCGAGAATTTCAACTTTTTATCTATAAAACTTGACACTTTCGGAGCTTTCTAAGAACTTTTTTTCTTACTTTGAAGAGTTCTAGTATGAGATAAAGTTTAGATTATGCAATTGAAAACATCGTAGAGAACTTGCATTAGTTGTTTTATAAATTGAAATACGTTTCATTAATTAAAGAAATAATTTGAAAGTCTTTTACCGCTAAGGCCAGAATCCATTTAATTACCCATTAAAAAGTTTTAGAGTTATTTAATATTTCTGGGTTGTTATTATACAGTTTAAAACAAAGTTTCGACACAAAATCTAAATTTTATATTTCGTTTTACATTTCCAAATATCCTATAAATAGTCTTACATTTGCATTTCGTGACACAGACACTTTATTACGAAAGTATTGGGGAACAGTAACCAGTTCTAAAATATGAATAAAACCGCCTCAAAATGTACCCATTCGTCCTAGACTTACATCTGATGAGTACTTCTTTAAAAACCACATAAAAGAATAAACGAAAAATAAAAATACAAAGAATAAATATTACTCCCAGCATCCGAAGAACGTCGCCTTCACAAAAATGAAATATACAGCCAACTAATAAAGGGCACAGAGAATGATAAAGTCTATTTACCATCAAGGACACTTTCCGGTCCTTTCAATTCACTAGACGACCCCGTGTGACCTTAACGAAGGAACAGGGAGGAAAACGGAACTCGTGGAATCGGAAAAATACTTTTATCTCGCTAGGTTAATTAACACTTACCTCGGCGACTCTTTCGAGCAACGGCTCCAGCCAGTTGGCGTTGCACTCGCAGTGGCTGTCGAGGAAAGTCAGGACGGAGGCCTTCGCAGCGTCCGCTCCCCGCACTCGGGACCTCATCAGGCCCTCCCGTTTCTCGTTACGCAACACGCGGACTTTCTGGATCTTCGCCAGTTCTTCCCCGTCGGCCGCTGGAATTAGCAAGAAGAAAATAATTCACACTCAACTGCGGCGATTGAATTTAAATATCCCACGTTTTGGGAGGATAGTTATTTTTGGTTTAGTTGGTAGCAGTGTTGCCAATCACCTGACGTAATAATTGTCATTTAACCGCGTTTTATTTACCTGAGATTTCAGCTACTTTGAAAGATGATTGGTTAATTAACCGAGATCTCAAGTAAATAGAATACGGCTATTAGTTGCTTTCCAATTAAAAATATATATAAAAATATACTTTGGGAACACTTGAAATTGGCTTTTTGGGTCCCAATAAGCTGGAACATTTTACTCCTAAACTGTTCTTGTTTGTTTTCCCCTTAGAGCTTAGAGCATATACTTCATGTACAGAAGCCGCTGGAGAAGCAGTAAATGTCTCCAAATGCAGAACTACTGTTTCGCCACCGTTTACCGGCACTATCTCCTTTTACATGCACTGTAGGCTGTCTACAATTCATGTATTTGTAATACATGATTACAGTGGCCAATCTCGTGCCTGCGCGAGAGAGAAAGATAGTACCCAAACTATTTCTCTCTTTCACCGGTCTACACTATCACCGTAAGCGTGCTTCTTCCATGTAGTATTATGCTCTATGGCAGTAATGTAAAGTCACAAGTTCCTGATAAGTGATAATGTTCTTCCACAAATTAAATCCTAAATATTTTGCCCTTGAAGTAAAATCCGTACACACTTTAAGTTGATTAAAATTGTTATTTCCCCAAAACGTTGCAACAAATTAAATAAGTCTCTCTAAGCACCCTAGATTTCCAAGAGAATACTTGAAATTTGCGATAAAAAGCTTTCTCCTCAAAAGGATTTAAAAAAGGCGTCCTTCCAGAAAGCCTTTTAGATGTTAATTTTATTAATATTATTCTTATTCCGTTCCCACTTCTGCGCCACTTTAAGAAAAGGCTGGCGAGGAGATCTTATCTTCGTAATCTGTATCGAATGAATTTGATAATACAGGGACTTCAATGTAATAAAAAAATTGCACGAAGGAATTTGGATTTAAATAAAGTAATCATTATATTTGGGAATAATCTGACGACTGCATTTAAAGAAAATATAAAAAAGGTTTTTCTGGCGATTTAGAAAAATACCTAACAAACTCAGGAAGCGCGAATATATTCTACTGATTTTTTAAATAAAAATAATACTTACGGTTATCACTGTAGTCATCGACTAGAATGATTTCTTTAATAAGGTGCTCAGGACTTCGATTTAAAACGCTGAAAAAAAATACAAACAAGACTGTAATTACCGCAAAAATTGTTAATTTTGGAATGGGTAAGTTAAAGTGAGGTTATGTTACTTTAGCATTTGCCGTTTCGGAATTAAACAAGAATTCCCTGTATCTATTGTCATTAGACAATGTAACGTACCTTCCGGAGCACTCGCAACGCGGTTTGCTCGGTTATCGATTGATTTTGAACTCCTTTCTCCCCATTCGTCACATTTAAATGAGCTTTTATACACACTCCATTATTTCTCCAGCATTCGATACAGAGCAGTTAAAGCTTTATTGCCTTCCACTTCACGCTTCTGGGTCCCGCTCATTTTAAATTCAGTGCTTTTACAATTTTAACCCTAGTCGGGGAGAAATGTGTTGGCGCGCGAGTAAATTTTCTTTTTATATCCTTTTAAGAAACTCGGATGGAAAGCAGCGCGTTAGGAAAACGGTAGAGATCGATAAAAAATGCGGCATTAAAATCTAACAAACAAAAGTAAATAACATAACCTCACTTATTACCAGCTGGTACGCCTAGCGAAGAAAAATACGCAACGCAACACTGACTAGATCGAGAACATCTGGCAAGGTTCTCCCTTGTAGACGCAGCTAACTTTTGAATTTTTTGCAGTGAGCTGACCCACATCTTTACGAGCAAATAAGGTTTTCTTAACGTGACCCCTTTTAATGGCTTTCATTAGCACTGCGGCCATTTTTATTGCGGGGAATTAAACCGCCATGAAAGACTGAATTTACTTGCCGCAATAAGAAGTACCATTAATCAAGGAGGCTTTTATTCACCTCCGAACCCCTGACGCAGAGGCGTGCGTTGAAAAAAACGCGCAGGTTCGGGCCAATAAAGAGCAAATAACGTCCAACGCCCGATATTATCATTTCATCCCGCGAAATACTGGAATAAACCAAGATAAACCCCCTGGTAGCATCTTGGTGAGAATTAAATTCAATTCCATAAATCAGTTTGGTCGCTTATTGGCAACCGCTGGCGCAATCACCTCCCATCGACGCTGTTGGATTCAGTTTCACTGATTTCACGTGATTCTTTCGATACAGTCCGTACTAGATACTATCGGAAATCTCGTTTCTAACAAGCAGAGACGATATACGGAAGTCCGGAATGCCGAAGGAGGTCAGATTTTATTTGATTTGTTTATTTGTTAAACGTGTTTTGTTGTTTAAACGATCGATCTTCGCTTCCTGTCCTCCAAATGAACTCTGTTAAAAGACATCATTGAAAAAAATAATCCGGGTTGAGAAATTCATACGCAGACACGTAACCAGACCTATTTTGTTCTTTTTCTTTCGCAAATCCTTTTCCGAAGTAGAATTCACTCCGAAAGATATTCCCACCAAAAGAAAGTCTTCTGGAACCACGATACCTTTTGCAAATCTATGGAATTTTATTTCAAGGTTTCAAGGTGATATACGCCGTGATACAGGAATATCAAAAGAAGTTTGTTTCCCGAAGGTCATCTTGAGGTTAGAAATTTTTCTCATAATTAGCATTTAGGTTCCCTTTAGATTCCAAAGACCCATTTTCTATAAGGAAATTGTGAAAAGTATGGAAAATGTGCAAAAAATAATTCAGAATAAAAGCAGATTAAGCGAGACACCGAATATAGACCAGGACGAATCTAATCGTTTAAAAATAAAAAAACTTAACTTTACAAATTCAAATTTACTGGGCCGTCCTAATCAGCCGATTTCAATGTTTTAAAAAATTTGAAAGGTTGAGCGGTCTTTTCTATGTGAAAAAATTTTCAAGTATCTAGAACTTTATTTGAGCATTTTGAAAATTCAAAAATTTTTTTCAAAAAATTATTGCGAAAACTATCTAACCAATTTTAATGAAGTTTGGTGTGTTATTTTATTATACTCTGAAGTTTTTTTTAGCAAAATTAGAATGCCCTAGGAGAAATTAAAATATTTTAAAAAAATTATCCAAAAAACTTGATTATTTTGCTTTGTTTTCATCAATTATTTCTATTTTGCAACATCGGTAATAAATTTAAACATTCTTAACTTACAGTATATTGTGCAAAAATCAATTCTAAAACTTTTTTCCTCTTCAATATTCTTCCAAAATGCAAAGGTTCCAAGATATAAGTAAAAAACTCAGATAAAATAGGTATTTTTAAAAAATTTTTAAACAGTTTTACAATTTTAAAAAATCCGCTCTGGTCTAATAGGTAAACACATGAAAACAATCTTGGAATGCACAATAATTTCTCCATACATATTTAAAATGTTTTAAAATCCATAAAAACTTTCTCGAATTGGCTTTACAATCCTCCAAAAAGCACCAAAATTTCAAGAAACTTCTAATTGCCTCAAAAACCACTAAACAAGTCGAAATATCTCGAAAACCTCGAAAAATATTTAAAAATACTTAGATATATCTGGAAAACCTATCAATTTAAAAAATGATCAAGAATAATCCTCAACAGTTTCGCTATAGATCAATACAATAAGGCTAAATCTGGACAATAATTGTATATTATGGATTTATTCTGGACGTACACCACTGAGAACAAATTTTATAAAAACGTGCACCGTATCCGCAAAGGCTTTTTGTCATATTTTACGCCGACTCGGTGTCCCGGCGTAGTTTTATCAGAAACATAAATAAATATTAAGGGATTCAGTTTGTCTGGGCAAAAAGCGAAATAAATATGAATAGACGTGTGAAGAATAGAAAGGTAATCTCTTGTGAAAAATTGCCTGGAACACCGTATACCCCTAAAAATAGAGTTTTATTTAATTCTTCTTTATGCTGCAGCGAAATTTCTATAAAACTCAAAACTGTCAACGTACCGAGTACAATTTGCTAATGGAATCGATATTAATCCCGTACGCGCGTCACATTTCGTACTTCTGCAACTGCGAAGGGCAATTCTAGGGTCAGTGACATGTTTTGGAACAGCCAGTGACGCAATATATTCAGACAGTCAAATATATGTTTGCTGCATGCACCCGGAGAACTTTTAGAAATTCAAATTCAACGTGATATTTGTTCATAGAAGCTTCAGCTGGAATTGAAAGTTTTTCATACGAAACTGAGTTCTTTAAAAAGTACTGTTGCCTTTGTTACACACTCCACTGGAAAACCGTACTTTCTTTTAGAATTTAAATCCCTATATGAGCATCCCCTGGGCTAAAAACGACATAAAGGATATTTTATTGCAAATAAAAGCAGAAGGCAGCAAATATATACCCGCTGCCTACAGGTATTACTTCGACTTCACTGCCTGTAAATTCTGAGCGAGGGAGTTTAGTGCCTATTAAAGTGGACTGAAAATATTTTCAAACCCACGTAAATTTAGGCTTGAGCGACTAAAAGCGTCGAAAAATTAAACATGACGACAAAATTTGGCCGACCCTCAAACCCAGAAACCAGAATGTACTCCGAATGATTTTGGTGCGCTGAATTTGAATCCGAGAACCAAACTTTTCAGTTGGCTCTGGTTTTCAAGATATCGTAACCTAAAAGTGTCAAAATCGCGCATGTGCTTCGTAAATAAATCTTCAGTAGGTTTCAAAAATTAAGGTTTAATTTTCTGCAACACCCTGTATTTTATCACAACAAAAAATGGTATAGTAGGGTTTTCATAATCCTGAATAAGAATCCATTGCAGTTTTTGTCGAAAAAAAATCGCTAATATTACTTCTCGTTTTTTCTTCCTATAAAACGCGTCTCGGTTGGCCATGACTTAGCCCAAGAAAATACCGAAATTATACATTCTACTCCTTTTTCTGAGATCTATCAAACAAAAAAAAAAGTTGAAACAAATCGGTCAATAAATAACAATTTTACATGGGTGGGTAATGTTTAAGTGGGACACACTGTATATATATTTTCGATGGAGAAAAGAAAATTGTAAAATATTTTTTTTTAAATTCTCAAAAAACAGTCCTCATTTCTATTTATTTTACTATCGCATGTATATTGAAACTTGATGATTCTAATAAGGTTTATTTTTTCTACTAAAATTACCATTCTCTCAAAAACTATTAATTTGACATGATTTTTCCTAAGGACCTTTATTGTAAAAAATTTAATTTCTTATAAAATAGATCTTTAAACAATCACTTTTTATCCACAAAAAACATAAATATTGTGAAAAATATCAATGTTTCTACTAAAATTGCCATTATCTCAGAAACTATTAATTTGACATGATTTCTCCTAAGGACCTTTTTTGTAGATAATTAAATTTCTTATAAAATAGACCTTTAAACAATCACTATTTATCCATAAAAAACATAAATATTGTGAAAAATATCAATGTTTCTACTAAAATTGCCATTATCTCAAAAACTATTAATTTGACATGATTTCTCCTAAGGACCTTTTTTTTAGGAGAATTGAATTTCCTAAAAAATAAATATTTAAAAAATCACTTTTTATCTATAAAAAACATAAGATATTGTGAAAAACGTCACCATTAATTCGACAGATTCGACCTTTTTTGTAGAGAATTAAATTTCCTATAAAGGTAAGTAAAAAAAAAAATTCTGACACTTTAAACATTGACAAAATTTGGCGAGGTTAAGATATAGACCTAAAACTTTTTCCTTTCGCATTATTTTTTTTTATGCATAATGAAGAATATTTTTGGTCCACCCTAATGTCCAAACAACTAAATTTATCCATTTTATTCAAAGACCTAACAGCGACTAACCAAACGGCTTGACAAAATACCAACATACAGGAAAAAACTAGTATCCTGAGCCATTGGGGCGATCCAGTCGGGTGGTGTGACGCCACAGAAGCCCTACGAACGCCAAAGAATAGAAATTATTTTTCATGGTTAACATTAAAGCTATCGACCTCCTTTTTTCATCGGGCGCTTACGGAAAATAAAAAAACAAGTTATAAATTAAATGTCATTAATTGAGCTCATCCGAGTACAGTTGCCTAACACGGCGACAGACTATCCGATTACCACCGCGTACGAGGTAGCCGCCTGAAAATCAAACTGCTAATGACCACATTCAGAGCGTCGCCTTCCCCCTCGTCGCCGAAGCGACTAATTGCTCACCTCCCGCATATTTGGCGGTAATAATAACGCCGGTATCGATCCGAGCGCGTATAAATTCTCACCTAACCACGGTCCTAAGCAGCGTCGACCTTGCCTCGTTGTGGAAAGTGATGATGACGCTGGTGGCGGGAAGCTCCGGTCCCCAGTTCTTGCGTCTGCACCTGCAACGAGTTTTATTAATATTATCAGGTTTAATGAGCGGGCGTCGGGTTTCGGAGATAAGCGCGTTTGGGAAAGTTTCGGAATTTCTGGAGAAAATGCAGCGGCAACGTTAATAATACGTTCGCGTAGAAAACATTCAAATTTTTTGTTGGTTCTAGTGCATTAGGAACGGTTTCCAACAGTCGGAAGCAATCGCATTTGATTCGGAACAATGAACTTTGAACCTTAAGTAACAATTATATCGCAATGCGCATGCGTCGGACCGTTGGAAACCGTTTTGGATTAGTCTGGAGCAAAGCTAATATGTTTCAGCACTGACTTTTACCAATTTGGAAAACCTGGAAGTGTTAGGAGATTCCAAAGAACTGGAAACGTCAAGGATATATCAGGGAATTCGTCTAAATTTCATGCAATTTTAATTGTTCTAAAATGTTTAAATGTTTTAAATGTTCTATAAGAATTTTGTAGTCAATACTTTTTGAGTTATTTGCGCCTAAACATGTTCGTTTTTAGCCCAAAAAAATGCATGTTTTTGAGCCATTTTTCGCGAATGTCTCAAAAACTACAAGTTTTATCAAAAAAATTATCATAAGCAAAAATGAAGGTAATATTAAATAGCAAAGAGATTGCTTTTTTATTTTTGTAGATGGTATAGAACCCAAGTTATGACTCACAAGTTGAAGTTAATTTCGAAGATGGCTATAATCGAAACTTTCAACGTCCTGTAGCGGAAAAATTAAAGGTTTTTCGACGAAAACTTATATAACACCTACTAAAGTTCTTGTAAAGAAAGACCTTTAAATTGAGTGGTGGTAGAAATCGTTAGCATGAAAACTAATGAAGTTACAATCAAAATAAAATGAAGGTCTGAATTTTTGAGAAAAAAAAATCGGTATTAAAATTAATTAATGACTTGACGGAAAAAAATTAAACGTATTCCTTCTGCAATTTATTTTATTTATGTATTAACAGTAGATTTTTAAAAAAATCGCCTTTTTTCAAAATATGTATTTCAAAAACTAAACGTTATAAAAAAAATGATAGAATAAGAAATTGTAGGTTTGTTCTTACTGAACAATTTGCTTTTTTAAATTTTTGTAGGACAAAATTTGACTGTTATAACCGTTAGAAGCTCAAAACTAAGCTCCAAGACTGCCTTTCCTAAGTCCTTTTAGCTTACAAATCTAAAAAACGAAGGGCTCAAAAAAACTGCAAATCACATAACTTAAAGTGCTTTATATTCTCTACAAAATGATTTTTTGAGTAAATTAATAACTGTAAAATTACAGAAGTTATGGTAAAAAAATTAATCGCATTTTTTCGGCAAAATTTTCGGTGCGGGTAAATTACCATCATCTTTGTGTATTTTGGAGCACTTGTGAACTGATTTGAATAAGTATTTTAATAATATACATACACATACGTATCTATTTATAACGTATATAATTTTTTTTAATTGATAAAAAAAATATTAAGAATAAATTCAATAAAATTTAAAAAAAATAATTATATCATCGTGCTCACATATAATTTTTAGGAAACTTTTCTATAAGGGGTAGGGTTTTTTATGAGGGGTAGGTCTTCCCTAGGGGCTTTTTGGGTTGCTGAAAAGTTACGATATATCATAGATCATTTGAAAACCAATCAATAGCTTATAATTCAACATATGCATATCATTAAAACATCTCAAGCTTTCAATAATATTTTATTTTATTATAAGGGATGTTTTTTAAGGGTTGCAACTTTGTAATGAGTCGTAAGCTTTCTAATGAATACAAAAGAAATGCAATACATTGTGAATGCACCAAAAGAATATTTTAAACTGTTAAAAACTTTTTTTTTCTATTTTTGGCCATGGAAGGTTAGATTTTAAGGATTTTTGAGGGTTGAAAAGTAATTAAATTTCATGGATTATATTAAAAAACATGAAAGGGACTTTATCTAACATATTTGAACATGAATTGAATTTATAAAATACGTAAATCTGCGATTTTCGCATTTTGTTTGTACAAAGGTAGTTTTCACCAGCAAATAGAAAAAAGCACACATCTAAACAATATAACTTTTGAAGTGGGGGGTCAGATGAGCTTGTATGCAAATTTTCAGGATAATCCATGCAATCCGTAAAAAATTTTTTACTCTATTTTCGCTTTCAGTGCCTGGACTACTACTAATAATAAAAATATCATTAATCTACTAGGTCGCACATCTAAATATTTTCCACCATCTGTAAAAACATGTCCACGACGAGACAACTAATTGAAGAAACGACTTGTTAAGTACAATTTACTGTCGTTATTCATACTCCTTGAACTTGCTTAAGTGGCGCAATTAAGTTTCGTTTAAAACGGAAGTGAACAACCCGTAAAGTGCGATGTTATACGTCTCCTCCGCCGGCATTTTATTGTAAGATACCAACTGAAATATTCCTCACAGCATAGTCCATTATATCTCAAATTTACCTATGAAACTCCCCCTACGCTCGGGACCGTAATGAGGTCAATAAAATGTAAACAATTTACGACCGAGTCGAAGCAGTTTTTGCTCGATTTTATTTTTCATAAAATTTTATGGTCGGTTATTCATGACGTTGTAAATTTCGCTGAGATAAGGCCGACCGAAATTTGCAAGGTTTAATGGCAACTGATAAATGACTTTTTCTTCTTAACAACGCCCGATGTTGCTGCCCGTCGTTTTGAAGATAACTTTCTACGGAAGCATGGAAAGTCTTCCAGAACAAGAACATGTAGATTACGTTTAAATATGTCAAATACAGGGTGTTTTCGAATGTGGGTTTAGAATTTTAAAAGGCTACAATTGTTGTCGAAACAATGCACAAATAAATTACAAATAAATACATGGAAGAAATATGTATATTTGAAGTTAGTGAGATTTCCGAAGCCGATTCTGTAAATATTAATCACAGATCCGTACTACCGCGAGGAAAAATCAGTGCTTGCCGTCATTTCTCTCTGACATTTTAATAATCGCTTGCGTTGTGCGATTGAGTGTATACAGGAAGCTAGACCTGGTATGATTAGCAATATTTTCTAACAAGTTCACTTAGACTCTTGGGGCCATGTGTTGAGCATCTGGTATAAAGAGAAAAATCGATATTTCAAATAACGCGTGAAATGCATTCCAAAGAACGTAGGAATTCCAAGAATAAGTTGTTAGAAGTTGTTAGAAAAATAATAATAGATCAAATAGCTGGTTTTTAGGCGGATTTTCCAAGCTATAAGAATAGATTAAATGAGATTGACTAATCCGTCCCGTATTGCTACACGGAGTCACTAGAGGAAGGCTAGGGTTACTTGTAAGTCCAGTTAGTCACAGAATTATCTATATAAATGTAAATTCAGTCCATTAGATAACTATTAACATAGCATAGTTATGCCAAAGCGTCCCGATATTTCAGGGTTCCCTCCAGTAATATAAGAACAGAAACGTCTGGACCCAAGAAATTGGCGTGTCGAAGCGAGGTGTCGAATTTAGGAGAGATCTCGAAAAAAAGGCAGTTTTCGCTTGGGTTCCACATTGAGCAGTCGACTTAGTTTTAGAGTCTCGGGTTAATTTAATAATGGATAGTCATTCCAAATTTTGCTACGGATCGCACATTCCGTGAATCTCGTGTCGCGTGTCAATAAATTAATTAATAATGTTGTTCGAGTCCGTTAGTTGTTATTTTGTTTGTTTGTTTTGTTTTTATTGTTATTAAAACCTTTCGTGGAAGTTTTGGTGTTTCTTTCTTGTTCTTTCAACATTTCATACGCTTCTACATTCGTAAAAGGCATTTTCCTGGTTCACAAGTACTTTTCCGCCACAGGTAACACTAATTTTGCACGTAGCAAGAGCTGTCACATTTCGTTTGGCATAATTTTTCAGTCTATTTTCATAGGGCATAGCCTGCTTCGTTATAGAAACAATAATCTATATAAATACTCAGATATTTGAAATTAACAAAATAGTGAAACATTGCAGTTATCAAAAAAATTTTAAAATATAGCAAGTACTTTTTTTAAAGACAAGCTTGGTATAGTTTTACAATTTAATTTTGGCTTGAACTATGTCATTGTTTTTTAGAGAACTAAATAAAGGAGGATGTTCTAGCACAATTTCACTGTTTTAGCAATAACTTGAAAACGAAAAAAGATATCGACCTCCGGTTTGTGTATTTGTTTTCTTTAATAAATGGTCTATCAAGCCATGAAAAAAATCTATATCGTTACATTTAATTTTTTTAGAAAACGAAGATAATTATAAAACTTTTGTGATTAGCGTCGTCTACCATTGCGCAGGAAAATAATATTTTTATTCCCATATCATAAAAATAAATTTTATAAATAGTTCTTTAAAATGAGCCGTCATTTCTTGAAATCGATTAAGGCATTTAGAAGTTATGAGAATTTAAAAATTTCAAGATGGCGTCCTTCATACTGGCGTTGCTATGGCAATAACAAAAAAAAAGTCCAGACAAAACATGTGAAGGGTTTAACAGTGTATTTAAAATGTGTATTTTCAACTTAGGTTATATAAGCGAAATTTCGAGAAAACGACAATTTTCTGTAACACTATAGCAGTTGCGCCCCCTAGCGATGAAGTTACAAACTTGAAAATATTTTAATCCAATTTCGATGTAAATCACAAATAAGTGTGAATTTGCACTGATTTGTTTGGCTCAATCAATCACGTGATCGCCCAAATTCAATATTTTGCGCCTCTTTTTTTTGCCCGAAATCAGAAAAATGTCGAAACACGTCTTGAAAATTTTACGCAACTTTTTTTTAAAGAAATTATTTATAACAATGCATAACCCGCGATTATTTTCGTGCGACAACCACTATTCCTTAATAATTCAATAGACTCATTCGTCCACGAGTTTATTCACCCCTATGCCGCAATTAACACCCCCATTTTTAAACGAACGACCTGCCGTTCAACTAAGTCTCGGCAAATTGCAATTCTTACGCAAGTCCGATCCGCGATTACATCCATAACGCCGCAGTGTGTCTATGTTGCAACTTCATAATTGGAAAGGCGCATACCGCCCCCAGCCAGGCTTTATTCGTACCCAAAGCGACTCAAAAAGTCCGTCGAGGCAATCTTCGTGGGCGCCTCGCGGAGAAAGGCGAACAATTAGCCTGAATTCCGACCACACAACAGTGCCTGCTCTGGCAGAGTTAACGATCCCCAGCGTCTAATAGTTTGATAAAAAAAAATAATGCCCAGGTTAATTGAGGGGTTTGCTAAGGAAGTGTATTTTTAGCGTACAATCTTTTTAACCGCGTATAATCTTATAATTAGGATAAGCGCCTTAATTGACTTAATTTGCCTAATTACAATTACCTGGCTCTAATGGGAATTAATTAGCGTTTAATTATGATATACCAGCAAAACTGTGTGTTGATAAATTGACGATGTCATCATAATCAATTATTACTGTTTAATATACAGGGTGTCCCAGAATAGCGTGTACAACGGAAGACCGCAGATTAGTGGACTCAAAATAGGCAGATTTAGGCTAATTCACCTATATCCGAAATCGCTTCGTTTGGCCACTAGATGGCTTCACAGTTCGTGAAATTTTTTGAATTTTGTAAATAACTCGAATATGTATTAATCGATTTTGATTGTTTTAGAGGTGTGGACTTTTGCTTTGAATCTACAAATTTTGGTTTTATACATAGTGTTTTTTAAAACTCCCAACTCCTACAAAATTGATGTATGGTGATAAAAACCGTTCATAACTTTTTCCTCTTTCGGGCAATAATGACAATTATTTTTTATTTGATATACGACACCATTTGGAAGTTTTTGGGCCTCTTATAGAAATTTGATTAAATGAGCGGTTTGGGTACAAAAAAATATTTTTTAAATGTCTACGTTATCTTGCAACCCATATTACAATACTTAACAAAGCGCTAGTAGGTAGTCACTGATTTTGTAGGTTGACTGTAATTTCAGTTTGATCTTCAAGTCATTGTACCTGCCAATTCTTAATGAGTGTTTATAGTCCAGTCACTGTAGCATTTTTGCTACCAGTTTTTTCGGATTTACTGGATTGACGTGAAATTTGAACTGTAGCTAGGGAATAGCCCAAGAAACAAAAGTTATATAGTGCCGATGTGTGCTTTTACCCTAGGGGTGGATGCCACCCCTTCTGGAGGATGGGATTTTTTTTATTAAAAATAACCTCATGATTCGATAGAGGGATGAATTCTAAGCAAAAAAATGTCCTATAAGAATTTTTTGTAGTCAATACTTTTTGAATTATTTGCGCCTAAACATGTTCGTTTTTAGCCCAAAAAATGCATGTTTTTGAGCAATTTCTCGCGAATATCTCAAGATCTACAAGTTTTATCAAAAAAATTATCTTAAGCAAAAATGAATAGCAAAGAGATTGCTTTTTTAATTTTTGTAGATGGTATAGAACCCGAGTTATGACTCCCAGAAGTTGGTCAATTTCGAAGATAGCTATAATCGAAACGTTCAACGTCCTGTAGCGGAAAAATTAAAGGATTTTCGTGGTAAACTTAAATAACACTTATTAAAGTTCTTGAAAAGACCTTTAAATTGAGTGGTAGTAGAAGTCGTTACCATGAAAACTAATGAAGTTACAATCAAAATAAAATTATTGTCTTGATTTTTGAGAAAAAAAAGGTATTAAAATTAATGACTTGACGGAAAAAAAATTAAACGTATTCCTTGTGCAAATTATTTTATTTATGTATTAACAGTAGATTCTGGGAATTTGAACGAGTAGAAGCGTAAATTTAAAAAAAAAATTCATTTACTTATGAATAAAATTTTTAAATTTTAAAAAAAATCGCCATATTTCAAAAACTAACAGTTATAAAAAAAGTTAGAAGCTCAAAACTAAGCTCCGAGACTGCCTTTCCTGAGCTTTTTTAACTTACAAATCTAAAAAACGAAGGGCTCAAAAAAAACTGCAAATCACAGAACTACAAAATTACAAAAATTAATCGAATTTTTTCGGTAAAATTTTCGGTGCTGGGAAATTATGTATTATGATTTGAGTATTTTAATAATATACATACACACACGTATCCATTTATAATTTATATAAAATTTTTTTTATTTGATATTAATTTAATAAAAAAATATTAAGATTCAATAAAATTAAAAAAAAAAATAATTATATCATCATACTCGTATATAATTTTTAGAAAATTTTTCTATAAGGGGTAGGGATTTTTATGAGGGGTAGGCCTTCCATAAGGGTTTTTTGGGTGGCTGAAAAGTTGCAATATATCATAAGATCATTTGAAAACCAATAAAAAGTTTATAATTCAACATTTGCATACCATTAAAACATCTCAAGCTGGCAATAATGTTTTTTTGTTTATTTTATTATAAGGGATGGTTTTTAAGGGTTGCAACTTTGTAATGAGTCGTAAACTTTCTAATGAATAACAAAAGATGTGCAATACATTGTAAATGCACCAAAAGAATATTTCAAAATGTTAAAAACTTTTTTCCTATTGTTGTGGCCATGGAAGGGTAGTTTTTAAGGATTTTTAGGGGTTGAAAAGTAATTAAATTTCATAAATAATATTAAAAAACACGAAAGGAACTTTATCCAACATATTTGAACATGAATTGAATCTTTAAAATAAGTAAATCTGCGATTTTCGCATTTTTTTCGTACAAGGGTAATTTTCACCCCCAAATAAAAACAGCACACATCTAGACTTTTGAAGTGGGGGGTCAGATGAGCTTGTACGCAAATTTTCAGGAAAATCCATGCTATCCGAAGAAACTGGGAGCTTTTACCTTATTTTCGCCTACAGTGACTGGACTATATAGAAATATAGAGTATTCTATACTCACGTTCTAGTCTTTCTAAATTTTTTAGCTCTAATAAGGCGACAAAAAGTCTTAAACATTTCATTTAGAGACCTACTAAAAAACAAGACAGCGCTACTCACATGGCGTTCCTGGTATCCGGAATCTCCCGGTTGCTGGGCAGGCTGTCGCTGGCCTCCTGGTTGAACCTGTTCCGGATGTAGGGGTCCTCCCCTTGGCGCAGGCCACCGCGGGCTATGTACCCGGCCTCGTCGAAGTAGTTCCACGTGAGGCGCCCGTCCGTGGTCTCGAAACTCTGGAGGGCCAAGGGGAAGCCCGGACCCGCGGCGCTCTCTTCCACCAGCGGCGACGCCGTGATGCCGTCCTTCAGTCGCAGTGCTTTGTTTTCAGTCTGGAGACAATAAGAGGAAAGTTGGAAAAACACATTTTTTCAAAGGAAAATTATTCCTAGAATGTTGTTGTTTTGTAAAAAAAAAAAATATTTCCCCCTTTTACAGCATAAAAGTAATATTACGAATATTATTATACTTAAGCTAATGAAGAAAAAAAAACAACATATGATAACAGATATTTGTACGGGAAAAATAGTCAGAACAAACTTTATTTTTGTCAGGAAACAGGATATATTAAAAAATTGTCGGATATACTTTAAAATTATTAAAACCTTAAGTTTTTTTTTATTTTAAATTAAAAGGAAGTTACAAACGTTGTCTTTCACCTATTAAATTTAAGATTTGAAACTGAAAAAAGGAAACAGACACGAAACATTTAGTTGGGTATATTAAGTACAGAGGAAACGATATCCTGTTTTAAGTGATATACTTTTAAGCCAAAGTTAAGTTTCTGTTTTAGGAGATTCATAATTACTAAAATTTAAGCACAACACTATCTTCGTACCTACTATAAAATCGATACAATTTACTAAATGTTCCACAAGTAGATATAACATTAAGATAATCACATAAAAGTTTGTAGCAAATTTATAGAAGTAGCGGTTTAAATATAGTACAACAGCAGTTTTCTCCGTGTGTGTTCAGTCAACACATTATACGCAGTCTGTAGCAGTTATATTACTCACAATCAGATAAACATTGTCCCGAACAACAGAAATCCACATCGAATTATATCCTCCAATATTTCCGCTCATAAAATTTAATGGCGCAAATTTATAACTTTTAATATCTCGCTAATGTCGTTGCAGCGAATTCAGTTGAATCTAAAATGAAATAACCCCCCGATATTGCAGTTTGTGATATTTATTAATACGATTCCGCTAAACTCTAACGAATCACATCTCTCTCTCCACACATATTGTTACACGAAGCGCAAACCATAATTACCAAGTAGTATTAAAACTTGATACATCACGGGCCCTTTGGCAAAGTTCTGACTAATTACTGCAGTTTCCGAAATAGGATGAGCTACAAGTTTACACTGTAACACATGCTTGTGAAACTGTTAATGTATGTATGAGGATTATTCGAGGAATATTCATGTTAGTACACTGAAAAAATTGAATGTGAAAAAATTGTAATTTTGCCTAAAAAAATGTTGCATTTGTCTACAATACACCAACGGAAAGGCAACAGTATACCAACGTGACATGAACGTAAAAAGCATTCTGAGGCTCACTCATTTGTTGTTGTTTTCAAGAATTGTTTTCAATGTAGTCATTACATTGAAATCTTCATATATTATATCACCGCAACATTTGTGTTTTTTTAAAAGAACGATATAACTGTTGCATAACGCGGCTGCAGTCGTGGTCTTATATTAACGTTTCTATTTGCTAATGGTCGTTCTAAATAGGTACCATTAAGTTTAATAGTACGCCTTCTAACACCATCCTCTTGGGCGTTATATAGTGTACCGTAATAGAGTATTAAGTCTTGTACCCCGATTGGCTAATTCGTTTACTTCGCGGAAGAGAAAGTGAACCGATATGCCGGCATCGTGGGCTGAAATTGGTTCCCTGAGATTTTCAAAACAAGGGAAAACGCTGTGCGTTAGTAATAGCTGCTAGGTTCCTACTTGAATTTTAATTCAATTCAATTGAATTTTTATCCATTAAGTTTTTCCTTTTAAACTAAAATCTGAAATAATCCACAACTTAATAACCCTCGAAAGGCCTACCTACGGGAAATCTAAGGACCTGATATTAAAGTGCACTTATTGGAAAAGTTTCTTATATAAAAACTCATATAAAGTGGATTACTATCCCATCAGACGTAGCTATATTCAATAAGAAGGGATCGTTTCGAGTTTGAGAGATTTAATAAAGCGACTCATCGACTTACAATTTTTCAATTAAGAGACGAGACTTATTAAAGCGGAGCAATGAGCCATTTTCCAAGGGAAAAAAGTCACCGGGGCCGAATTAGTTTCTCATTGATTAATGCTGGGAGACGACAGCGTCCTCGTCTTTTGAGCAAAAGGACAAATAAGGTTACGACTTCTGTAATATGTCTCCCGTTCCTTAAAAAAAATCATTCATCTCTAAGTCTAATATAATAAAGTACATTACTGTGGATTCGTAATAGATTTACCGATCTTTTGAATGGAACAACAAAATATGCTACAAATGAAACTATTGAAATAATTTTCGGTAAAAACTGATAAGAACCTGTATTTTATTCGTTGTGAAAATGTAAGTTTTCTTCCGGTACTAAAGTTGACAACGTGAGGCCCTATACCTGATACACCCTGTAGATAAGAAGCCGAAATCTATTACACAATATTATTGTCTTTGCATAATTCATATTTTCGTACTTTTTATAATTATGTCACAATTTTTAATAGCGCTACAATGAAATCTTCGCGGTCGAGTAGATAAAAAAGATGACCCATAAAGGCGCGAATGCTAATATAAATAAAATGATACTAATAACATCTTCCGGATAATTATGTGGAACTCGAGTCACGGTGGGCAACAAATTTCACTTTCATCGTGACATAACGGTACAGAATAAAAACAAATCCATTAAAGCAAAACACCAAAATAGGAGAAAAACCTGATCCGGTAAAAATTCGTTCTTGTTCCTTGCATATAAATCTAATATAAATTCCGCAAATCATCGTAGGGTGTTATATTTTATAATAGGGTACAATGAGAAACATTTGAATTGAACGAAGTTACACAGAATTTTGTCTGTTCCTTGCTGGTAAAGATTTATCCGCAGATCAAATTAATATATGAAATTAATTAGCAAAGTACCACGTTTTATAGAAATGCAGGTTCATTGTTTTCCACTTTCTTTTCATTTTTGATCAAAGAAGGAAGAGAAAATACTTTTCTACAGATTTCAGGTTGGATATTTCGTTAACTAATCGACTTTTCAGCCGAATCTAACCCTATTACACACTTAACAGAACTATTCTGCTCTTCCTAATGGTTACAACTATGTAATATTCTTAACCGGCGAGTGCCTAATCAAGTTTTTAAGTGGGCCTCATTGAAACAGCCATCATTAACATTAATTTCAGTACGCCACTGTTTCAACAAGATCCAGGGTCCTGTTACGCTCAGATGACTGAATTCGCTATTATTAGAGCGAACTGTTTACAAATTAAAGTAAGCAGTGGTTTATTAATAACAGACAAATGCCAATTACCCGCAAATATGAGACACAGCGTTGGTGAAATTGGAGTATTCTCTGGGGGTTGTACTTACTCCACCGCCTCTGAACTGAATGAATCGTTCATTAATTCAGAATTTATTACCAGCGCCGCAACTGCTATTAATTTCATTAATTTCAGCCTTTCACGAAAAGGTCTTTGACCACCAGAAGGTGTATTAAGAAGTATTTTTATAACTGGTTTTAATTAATTTATTATCGGCACGTGAATGAGACAAATATGCTTTAGCCTGCTCGGTTACAAGATCTCAGTCCAACAGAATCTATGATTGACTAACTGCATTAAAATTATGACACTGGTTCTAAAGACAACAGTTACTAGAGTTATTATTTTACAATGATGCTATTGTTTGTTGCGAAAATAGCTTCACATAAAGCGTGTTATATAATTCACACAGATTAAAAAACGCTTTTACTTCCTTTCATCGCCTTTTCATTGAAATTGAAACAGATGGTAATCGAGACGGTATGTGATGATAAATGAGTGATGTCATTGTCACCTATAAAGTGGCGACGTCTTTTGTATGCAATTATTTTTTGCACAATGATTGGTTTGTTTCAAACACAAGTGTAATGTTATTAAAAATTACAACTCTGAGCAATCTTTTTATCCCGGAGAAAGTAGTAATTTTTGACAATTATAAGGTTTAATAACTTTTTCAGCCTCCTCTGTGAACCGTTGTAGGCATATTCTGTATAACCAATTAATTATTTATAAACGCAACTTTTTTCCGTTTCGATGCGATTCGATTAAGTTTTATGTACAAATAATTAAACCCTTTGTGAAAGATCACTCAACGGAAATTAAATAAAACTGTGTTAAGTGATCGTACACAATCGAAGAAGTGGTGGAACCGACAAAAAAATTAAGTAATCTGAAACGCTGATACACTAATTATGGTGGGCTATTAAGGCGGAAAAAAATGGGGCTTACAAACAAATAAATCAAAACTCGGATTATTCCACTTAAGAAACGTTTTAACAGGAAGCTGCCGAGCGATTTATTTATGAATGCAACGACCTCTCCCCCAACCTAAAGGGTCCCGTACGTAATCGGACTTAACCGCCAAGCTGGCGCGCATAGGCTAGGATGACTGCATTTTGCTTAATTTAATTAATGCGAACAAATATGTGTCGATATGTTAAACTTAAGCGCTTTTATATAAAAACTATTAAACTTGACGAACCGTATTACAGTTAGAAAGTTACATATCAGTTAATGCATGGTATGTACGCTAGGTGACACAGATTTTGCTTTGGAATCCTCGAGAACAATTACACAGTGTGTGTATTCATACATAGGCTAACTTTATCTTTAAAAACACAAGTTAATTTTCTCAAATTCCGTAATGAAAACTGACTAGTGTGGCCTCAAATGTGGCGCGCGTTAGCTTTCATACTAAATAGGTCTTCATCATGAGTTTTCATTTCGTGCGTATCATCCGTGGCTTAATTCTACTGTTGTTTTACATTCATTTAAGATGTCTACCATCGATTTAACTGAAGTGAATGAAAAAGAAAAAAGAATTAAAAGACCGTATATTTTAGTTTCATAACTTTTTAATTTAATGCTTAAATTCCTAAGTGCGACCCTGTCCACTTGATCTAATTGTTTACTTCATTGGAATATGTAAAGTGACAGTAGTCTAGTTCATCTAAACTAGATCATTGGGTGATGACAAAACATAGTGTTTAAAAGAAAGTAGTAGTAATAGTGTAATGCTTTCATTTTATAAAACAGCAAAAACAATTGTTT